ACATGCAGGTCTTAGAAATCTATTTTCCTCCATGCTTTCCCTGTTGGCAGCGTGCCTTTATAAATCCTTCCAGGACTCTGCATTTTTGGTCCTTGTCAGGATAAAGAATCAGTCAAAATACAATGCTGTAACACTTTTATATCCTGTACATGAGTGTTAGTAGCCTGTCTTCCCCACCAATCTAAGACCCTCCAAACTGTTTTCACAAGAGTAAACCAGAGGTGTTTTGTAGCCAGGATAAAATACCTGCCATCCAGCCTAATAGCAAAATTGAAATAAGTCAAGGAAAGGAAAACAAGGATCTGGGAGACACGAGCAAGTTTGTTTGGAAAATATCATTTGGGACCTGGCTTCGGAGAGGATGAAAACAGGTTGTTCACAGCCTGTTGAGATGATTATTTGTGGCAGGGAGTTTTTATTTATGACTGCTTTGAAGAGAGTTGTGTTAAGCTTTTCTTCTTCACAAGCCACTAGGACATATCTACAGTGCCAGTGGTGTAGGCCAAAGGTCCATGTGTGTTTAGTGTACAATCAACTAAGGTAACTATGGTGACAAATGCCCCCAGCCCCAGCCACTTGGCACAGAGTCCTATGCGTGCTCCTGTTGGCTGGCCCCATGAGCAGTCCTCTGCACAGCCACTTTCTGGCCTCTTCCTACTAGATAATGTTGACATCATGGGAGCCTCTCCTTCCTATCCTATGGACAGAGGAAGAAGAGATCACACAGGACATTGTGACAGTCCTTCCATCCTCACTGGTTGGCCAGCGCTTGGTCCCATGGCCAAAATTACTGCAGTGGAGCCAGTAGGGCAAGCTATGGATACCACTGTGACACATGGCTAGAGACTTACAACAAGGACAGCTCCTGGCTCAAAGAGCCTTGTCCAAGGTCTACAGTGTAGGTGGCCAACTCAGATGCCTGCAGGGCCACATGAGTGTGTGAATGAGTATAGTGAGTGGAAACAACAGCACCGGGAATGGTGCCACAGGGACCACGTGGAAAGGTCACCCTATGAAACGTGATCATTCAGCTTTATGACACAGAGCTCTGGATGGCCTGGCCACATCTGCTGGCCACACCTACGCAATATGCTACCAGTTGGCAGCCTGTAGTCTGGGAGAGAAAAATCCTTTCTCAGGAACCAAACTCCATAGTTGGCTGTATTCTCAAATCAGTACCTGTCAGGATAAACATCCCCAGTCCCATGTTTTGAGAGAGAAAGTTCTGTGTTGCAGTAAAGAAACAGAAGCTAAAAAGAAGTATAAGGAAGGTGATGTAAGGATGCATTCTAAGAAGGCTTGGTCCTTTCACAAAAGAAGCAAAGCTCAGCCCCTACAGGTACTGATGGTCTCACTGCACACCTGGGGCCAACATGCTGGGGTCTCTATTCTCCTGCTCTCAGATTCAAGTCTCTGCTGTTTCTCCCTGCACACTTCTGAGTCCAGGCATCCATTGAATAATTTCACAGTAGCAACAAATAATATTTTTGGAACATCAGTGAATCATGTACATTAGTTTAAATAAAATACATGGAAATAATGTAAGCTATTATTGAGCTATTATTATGTGCCAGGTACTATTTAAGTCTCTTTGCAATAATTAACTCACTTGGTCCTCATAATAACCCATGAGATGCCATTACTACTCCCATCTTACATTCCAGGAAACTGAGACATATGTCACTGGCCAGTGTTACTTTAAATGGTTGAACTGAAGCTCTTGCTCAACCAGTATGCCTCAGACTTGGGCTCATTATCAGTTTGAGACATGGATCTGCTTTCTTTGCAGGCTGATTGTCATTTTAAGACAATAGAAATCCTTTTGTCATCATACAGTTTGATACCTATGTTTCAAAAGTGTATTGCTTTCATGTTATTTATGAGAAGCGAGCTAATGCACAAATGAACCCAAGATTTCCCTCCTGTCTCTAGATGAGGTTTGACTCCACTGTCCCCAGCTCTGAATGCTCCCAAAGGCACCTACATTTCCCTTTCAATGTAGATTTTAATTTTAGTTATCCAATTAATTAAATTAGGATTTGTTAATGCCTCTTTCCTTTTTCTAGACCTTTGTGTTTTAATAGCATCTATTGACTACTTTTCCTATGTGGCATGTTTCTAATGGCTTTATGTGAATCATCCTACTGAACCCACACAGCCACACTCAGTGCTTATCCCATTTGCTATATTTTTCTCGATGAGAAAACTGAGGCACAGACCAGCCATAAAATGTACCAAATCACATGTTCAGTGAAGAGCAGAGCCAGGATTTGAGCAAGGAAAATGGCTCTAGAGACCATATTTTGAACCACAGCACGATATAATATATAAGTATCTGAGCACTATCTAGCAAAGCTTTCCCAGGATCTCAGGAGGTTAACACGTGTTTGCAGATAAGCGAGTGATTGAATGGATGATTTGACCAGCCCTCACCTCAGTAAGCCACATTTTGTCCAGCAGGGTGCTTCATTCTTTATGCTACAAACCATTTAACCTGAATTTTGACTGGCATATGAACTAACCCAAGAATTCGCAAAGACCCCCTTTCCTGAGGGTCAGCAGTTGGAAGAGTTTTTCTTTTCTAACTCTAGAGGAATCCTGAATAGACCTTGCCAGGGAAAGAGGAAAGAGGCTAAGCCAGACATAGACAAAGATGGAGAACTCACCCATAGAGTAGCATTCCCTATCTCGAACTGTGCCCCTCCTCTATCTCTCTCAATTCTTGAGCTCAGCATCCCTAGGAAAATCACATAGCCCCTTAGTATGTGATGGTTTAATATGACTGGTGTAGTGGTCTGGGATTTGAGGGCTGAACTAGCCAATTAGAAGGTTAATATAGGATTGTAGGCATAGGGTGCCTGGTGGTAACCCTTGCCCATTTGCCATTTAGCTGAATTAGCATTGGCCCACTACAGATTTTCTGCTTGCAAACTTACCAGCAAATTAGTCTGCATTCTGAATCTTCATTCTGTGTATATTCCACTTAGCATGTCAGTGTTATGACTGCTTCATGAGTGATCTAATGAGAGCCTGGTCTCAGGACAAGGGCAAGTTTTACAAGCAGAGCTGCACAGACACCTTACGATAGCATCCTTTCCCCTTTGATTTGAAAAAGATGATGTCAGGCCAGGTGAAGACTCTTCCATTTCAACTTCTCTGATGTGGCTTAGGGGGGCCACACCGTCAACCTCTCAAGATCGATTCTTGCTCCTGTTCCTTGGGGATCAGTGCACCTCAGAAGGCTAGTATTTACAGAGAAGCCCTGGCTCCACAGCTTCCAACCTTTTGTCCTCTCCTTTGAGTTCACTGCTAGGGATAATAATGAGTTTTTCTCAACTGCCTGTCTACAGTGGTTAAGAGTTTGAGGTTTGGAATCAAAGTTTGGTTTCCTAAGAGACAGACACCAAGTCAAAGATTTGAGTGCAAGTAGTTTATTTGGAGGGCTGGTCTTAAAAAAACTACCACAGAGGATGAAGAAATAAACCAAGGAAGAGAAGGCAGCTAATGAAAGGTGAATTATCAAATCAGATACTATGAGGAGCAACTGGAGCTGAAGTCCACAGGAAAGGAGACAGAACACAGGCCACCAAGTCAGCTCACTGGAGGGAGAGGGAGGGAGCCTGGGCATTTGTGCCCACTGAAAGGTGCTCCTGGGAATGTTAATTTCCAAACACTCTCTCCTTGTATTCAAGCAGTTTTTGGAGACCTATCGCCTGCAAAAAAGGCTGGATTCGAATTCTGACTCTACCTATCTTAACCACAGATCATGGGTGACATTGTTAATGTCTCTAAAATTTAGACCCTTCCTCTATAAAAAGATATCTTTTCTTATAATGCACACTTCATAGGGTTGATGAGAAGACTGAATGAGACTATGTATATGGTGAGCTTAGGACAGTGTTTGCCATACGATAAAGGGAAATAAAAGTCAGTTTTCATTAAGTATTACAGAACCTCTTTCCTTTGCCTAGCTAATTGATCCTCAGTATAAACAGGTGGGAAAGAGGCAATGTCTATTGTTACTGAACCTCAAGTCCACGCTTCCTCTAAATTACATGCAGGAGAATCTCATATTGCAGATTCCAAGGCTTACAATTGTTTGGGTGCTAGATAAGGTATCCTAAGGATTTGCAAAGACAAAACTGAGCCTTTGAAAGAAATTGTAAATTTAAAACTTTCTGGTAGCCAAATTTATAAAAGTAAAACTAGGGGCTGGGGATTTAGCCCAGTGGTTCTGCCATCTGCCTCGCAAGCGCAAGGTCCCCAGTTTGATCCCCGGTACCAAAAAAAAAGAAAAAAGAAAGTAAAAATAAATGGGTGAAATGAATATTTATAACATATGTATTTAGTCCCACATGTAAAAATAGTAATAATTCAATGTGTAATGAATGTAAATTTATTAATTAGATATTTTATATTTTTTTCTGACTTAGTCATTAGAATCCAATTTGTGTTTTATACCTACAATGTATCAGTTTTGGAGCGGCTGCATTTCAGATGCTCAGCAGCCACCTGTGGCTCGTGACCACCATGTTGGACCATGGTGGAGGTCTAATGGCCTTGAATTACTTGTAGAAGTGAATTGCAATGGAAATGTTCCATTTTCTTTTTCTTCCTCTTCACAGATGACAATGCTTCTTTGCATATATGAAAGTAAAGTTGGTTTTAACTCAGGCATCATAGGAAATTGACAGTTTCTATAATGAAATTTCACACATGGAAACCGTGGTGAGATTCTTAGCAGGTGTAAAAATCTGACGACGTTATTTCTTTAACTGCAATTTAATGGAAACTGCAGCAGCTGTTCCCCTTTGTGCATTTTCCAGATCTCATTGCCAAAATGAGTTGTTGGCAGCCACAAGAGAAGTATCAACTTGCCTCTTCATTTGGGAAATGAAATTAAAACCTCAGCTCATTTCTAAACGTCACAGATTTGGTAAAAGTTAGCAGGGCCAACATACAAGCCGATATTAAAACATTGATGGCTTTGGTTTCCTCAGGTGCTGCTGCTAACATCTGCAGAAGATTTGGACTGCACGCCTGGATTCCAGCAGAAAGTGTTCCATATAAATCAGCCAGCTGAATTCATCGAGGATCAGCCGGTTCTAAACTGTAAGTAATACCACTTGAAGTTGCTCTTGGCCTAGTCTTGTATTTAAATTCACCAGTGTCTTGGAATGTGTCTCAGAATATGGTATTTTCTAAACCAATATTCTCTGATCATTTCTTTAGCCACTATTTGACCCAGGGTGGAAGATTTTGAACCAGAGACTTTCTGGCTTAGGGGTCAATAGAGTGATGTGCGTCTCTCTTCAGTATTTTATCATCAGTGGCTCTCAGAAAAGGGGGCTGCCACCTTCCATTGTAAGTTCTACACAGTGGAAAGAAAATGAAATCCATTTCCCTTGGGCACACCCCCAAGAGCAACATCATTGCCTTCCCGAGGATTGCTGCCCTACCTGTATATTCTCTTACGTAGCATTAGGTCAAATGATGGTGAAAGCATGATATTGGCTGATGGGGACTTTTGGACACAGGAATCACAAACTCTTATTCTTGAAGCTAATGAGATAGTATTCAGAAAAATCCAAAACCTCTACTGTATTAATCTCAGATTCCCCAAATTCTAATTGATTTTCTTAAAATGTGCATCCCTCAGATCTATGGTTATGATCTCTTCCTATTTTTAACATCAATATTATATTACTTTACAAGCATAGTTTTTGCACAGTAGAATTTAAAATCAATGGCAGACATAACCACTTAATTACAGGTTCTTGAGTGCTATTCTTTAACATTTGGGAGTGAAGGATATGAAAACAGTGATCTAATTTGGTCAGATGCTCTATGGCCCTTTTAAAGAAGGTGATTGTACATTTGTCACTATGATCTAAGATTCCTTCCCAGGCTGGTCACAGGTCTTTATTCCTCATGTGTGTGGCTGGCAAATTTAAAGGAAAAAGTGGGGGACCCAACTACTTGCCTGATTGGATTATTCTGTGGCGCTGGTGCACATTGTAGGAGTTGAAAGGAAGGCCATAATGAAGAGACAATGAGGAGCATCCAGGGAGCTGTCCAAGGCGAAGCCTAGACACATCCTGCAATTACACCAATGGAACCATCTCCGTAATTACAGTCTGTAATGACAAGGTGACACGCTGGCACAGTGCATGAATTCCAATATGTGATTTCCTGGTAATTTGATACCTGAGTGGGACTCTGGTGTCAGGCCACCAGGAACCCTCATTTTTCTTTTGATTTTTGTATTTATCAGAATCAATGTATTTTAAACAGAACTTGATTTGTGAGAACTGTCTCTCTGGCTCTTCCCTCCCCTTTTCTCTCTTTGTGTTTCTCTCTCTCTCTCTCTCTCTCTCTCTCTCTCTCTCTCTCTCTCTCTCTCTCTCTCCCTCCCTCTCTCTCTCTCTCATTTCTGTCTCTCTTTCCTTTTTCCAAGCAAGTATCCCAAGTGGCATCTATGTTAACATGTTTGGAAATGTGAAGCTACCCTGAGTATGGAAATTAATAGAGTTGGTATGCAAAGCAGGCCCACAAATGTGATTGCTTCTGTAATCTTCATGACACCAAACAGCTTTTAATTCACCACTGAGAAGCTAGAAACAATCATACTTTGGGGGATCTTTTTAATTTAAACTAGGCCATACCGTACATTCCAATATCATAGTTTTGTGTGTCCCTGAATGTGTGTGTGTGTTTAATCCCCTAAGTAATTAAGTGGGTTATGGTTGTTGCTTCCATATAAGCTAGTAAATGCAAAATGAGACCAAGTTGATTATCAGTGAGTGCATTTGAGAGAAGTCAGTGATATGGGGACTATGGACATTTTAAATTTTACGCTTGTGTGTGAGGTGTTGGTCAGTGAAATCCGATTGCCTCTCAGTCAGTGAAATTGCATGTCCACATATATTAATTACTAGAATAAAAACACACAAAGAGAGACCTGGTTAGTACTTCTAAGTTCATCTCAATGCAATGAATATTAACTTTCTGAATAATGGTAAAAGTGCCTAAATGAAGAAGAAAGTTTCCACAGATTTGAGAATTTCTACTGAACACTGTTTGGAAAAATCTCAAATTCCAGAGATGCAATGCTTTGCTTTATTCCATTCACAAGAGGAAATAAAACAAATTGAATGGGCTTTTTGGTGTAACCAGTATTTTAAGCCAGTCACCCTGACTCCAACTCTCTCTCCTTTCTCTCTTATTTTTAGTTTCTTTCATGCACTTTCTTACAATTCAACACAAAACTCTTCTGCTTCTGAAAAGGTGTGATTTACCAGGACAGCCATGAAGGTATATACTCCTAGAATGAGAACCCTTCGGTCACAAGGCCAACATCTGGATGAGAAACGCAAAGAGTCAGACAGAAACAGAAAGCTTAAAAATGCTCTGATGGTTGAGTTTGTATATCAGAGATGCAGGAAGTGGTTGGAGATGTTAGAGTAACATAAATACAAGTCAATGTTTTACGTGAAAATGGAGATCAAAAGAAACTAGTTTAGGAAGATGATCTTGAGCCCATTTATGACATTTGCACCTTATATTTTTTGTTATGTTTGCTATATTTAAGAGCTTTGGCTATAAATCCTTGTAAATTTCTGTGTTGCAAAAGGTGTAAACACAGCATAATCAATCAATTGATGTCTACACTCTTTACCACTCCATAAAGTTATCTGAAAGCATTGTCTCTTTGTCTGACAGATGTAGTATATCTGTTCATACCCCAGACTTGTATTCAACCAATTCTGTGTTCAGTTTTTAGCAGGTTACAGAGAATGTTTATTCTGCCCACGGTTCCCCGCTCTCTTTGTTCTGACAGTAATGTTTCCTTTTATCCTTTTTCATCTTCTTCCTCAATTCTCCATGACTTACCTTTTTTTGCTTTAACTGTTACTAATGGTCACCTCCACTCCTTTTTTTTCCCTAATATTTTATTCACTGTTCACTCCGATACATCTTTCCCTCAGTTGTTCTAAAGCCTTTTATTTTCTTCACATCCAAATAACTCTTTATTCTACTCTCCACTAAATAGACTTTCTTTCTTCTTTGAAAGACCATTTTTCAACAAGCTGCTAGGATCAAAACATGATACCTCACTATTTCTTCTAATGTAACCAGCAGAATTCTTTCATTATATTTTTCATGGCGTGATGCAAAGCCCCCAACTCAAGGTAACTTGGGCAAAAGTTTCTTGGCTTCATCTCAGTCTTGAAAGCAGAGCTGGGAAGATGTGCTTATTCCTCTTTATCACTGAGAAGCACAAGGGGAAAGGGGAAAAGAGGTTCAAAAGCAGCAACTCAGAAAGGGACACTTGTTCTAGGCCTTTGGACTCAGGGTGGAACCAGTGAGGGGTTTGGGGATGCGGTTTCCCTGGAGGCCTCACAGAACTGTCTCAGCCTGGTGTGGTCGCTCTTGCTTCTCCTATGGTAGGAAACTCATGTGTTCCAGTAGCTGCCATCTTGGTACCAGTGCAGTTGGTTAGCAACCCTGATTACAGCCTCTGGCTAGTACCTATATTAGAAAACCTCCAGGCTTAAAGAATAGCTTGCCTGGACACCTGACCAGGTACCTGGCCAGGAAGGGAACGTGTCAAGGCATAACCCCTGATTATCATGTGTTCTGTAGAATTGCCAAACCAAATATTCTGTCCTGCCACCATCAGTTCAGATAGGCCTTCCTGGAACTGGAGAGGTTGGTGGTCATTTAGTTCCCTATGGGAAACAGCATTTATGATTCGCTACTCTATTAGTGGGAGATGTGTCCAATAGGGACACCCCATTGGCCACACACACTTCATAAGGATTGTACTTTACTTCTTCCTTCTTCATCCTTCCCAGGTCACTCCTCTTGTTCTCCATGCACACAAATACACAGACACACACATGCATAGGGAGAAAGTACCATCCCTAAGTTTACTTACAATTCAAACTGTATAATCATGTTTTTAAACAAAGAATACATATTGGTCAAAATGGGCTAAGCTATGCTGTACTAACAACCCCTGTGATTAAACACAGGAAATGTTTGTTTCTCATCCAGGTCATGTGGACACAGGTCAGTTGCTCTGCCGGGTGGCTCTCTTCCCGCTGTGAGCTGTTAAATAAGGGGTCAAGAAAGAGTGTGGGGAAGGCATCCTTGGTGCTTACCTATCTCAGCTGGAAAGTGACATGCATCGTTTTTGCTCCTAGTCTGTAGCAAGAGACATGGAGAATCACACACAACCAGCCTCTGTACAGTTCCTAAAAAATGATACAGACTAAGTCAAAACAAGACTCCAAACAAAGACAGAAATCATTCACAAAGAAGGCATCTGTTTCAGGTCTATGTGGGGCATAGTCATTCAGTTGAAGCAAGAGAGCAAGTTCCAGTCCACTGAGCAGTGTTGTCCTCCCTGCTCTCTCAGGAAAATGCAGGGGCAGCCTCACCTTCTGAGGGTTCTAGGAAAAATGGGCTCCACTTGCTTCCTCAGAAATTGCTATACTGTGGATAAGATCACACAGTTAGTTTTGAGCCCACACTGACAAGAACACAAATACCCACACAGGAAAATGTTAGCTGTGTGACCATGAGGAAGTAGTTTAAATCATCCAAGTGAGAATCATCTCATCTCTGTAAGAAGAGTAATTGCTCTCCCTGCTTCTAGAGCTAAACTAATAAGGGTGGAGGACCTGCTTAGCACACAGTTGGTAGAAACAGGAACTGCTCGTAGCATTACTATCATTATTTCCATTGTCAGTGTCATTATCATTATTTGTAGACCTTAGATAGATCTAGTTCCCATACCATGGCCCCCAAACCAGGATTTCAGGAAGACAGATCATGCTCACCTAAATTCTGAATAGGTCAAGTAGCATCTACAGCAGAGGTTCAGGATATTGGACTTTATGGACAAGTATCATGCTTTTAAAAAAATCTTTGAAATACAATAGTATATTTGTTAAAATTTTGCTGTTCTTGGATATGTAAAGAAGTAAATAAAGGAAAAGAAAAGGTGAGGCTGGAGATTTAGCTCCGTGGTACTGCGCCTGCCTCATAAGCGCAAGGCCCTGAGTTCAGTCCCCAGTACTGCAAAAAACAAAACAAAACAAAGG